ATCATATCTTGTTTATATAAACATATCACATATATATATATATATATATATATATATATATATATATATAATATGAATTATCTTGCCTAGTAAATGAGTTTCATTGCAACTTGCAAGAACCATATATACGACACACAGTTGACAGAAATGCAAATCAATTTGCCTGCAAATTTGGTTAATTTATGATTTTCATACAGGAGCTTCGGTTGGGGTGAACTGCCAAAGCCATGGCAGCAAGTGGAGAGGGAAGTCAGCGGTAGCAGGAGGTGTAACTGATGAATTCGGAGAGTTTATGATCGATCTACCTTCCCACCTTCATGCTATTCCTAACTTGGAAAAGGTGTGTACAGTGAAGATTCATAGGATTCCAAAGGCATCACTTTGTCGACCAGCTCATGTGAAGAAACAAAAGGGACTTAGGCTCTCTTCCTTTGGGAATGGCATCCGTACCTACAATGCTGGAAGCATAAGGATCAAAAATGGGGGAAACCAGTGAAGATTGTAAACAAGAGCACCATGGCTCATTTGGATGGCGCTTATAGTCACAGTATTGGGTTGCATGGCTTTTAAACGTCTCACTACATACATATTACATTCTGTATACATATAGCATCCACAAGTTTGTACAACATACGCAGCTGAAATTTCCAGGTTGCGTGAGATTGACACATTGTTGTGTGAAGATCACTAGTATTTGCTCCGACAATGATATACCAACGCTTTTACTTGGGTTATAAACATCTATTTTGACAATTCCCCTCACCGTTTTACTAATTACAATTCTCTCTCTCGTGTCTCTCTCTCTCTTTCTTGGTGTCAACAAGATTATGGTATCCACCAATATATATTTTCCTATTTGGTTTGTATATAGTATTGAAAACAAAAAACAATCCTAAAGATGTTCACTGTTCAGAGAATATTATCATACACATGAATATCCTATATAAGAATTTGCTATTAATTGATCAATTGCTTAACAAATATCTTACATATTTCATGAAAAATAAACTTCTTAAAAGATATTCATGATTTTTTTTATAGAAAAATAGCGAAAGAATCAAACTTCCATAAATTAATATTAACTTGCATATTTTAACAATTTAAAAAAATCTCTTCCTAACTTTCTGCAAAACAAATATGCATAAATTAATTTTAATTTTACGAGGAGAATTATTTTCATTTTATAGGTCGTTGTTATCCAATAAGTCGTTGTTGAAAAGTTTATCTAAAATGTTCCTTGATATTTTTCAAACCAGTTGTTTCTTCGTGCAATATCCAACACGGAGGGGTTTTGTGTATTCTACCAAGAATTAACTTAATATAGCTCAACAAACATTCATATTTGCAAGCTAACAGACTTAGCAGAGACCCACGTAGCTCAACAACAAAAAAATTTAAGCTACAACCTAACAGTTACTTTAATAATTGAGAAGTAAGGGTTTGCCCTTATTTTTGTGGTTGGCAACAAAGACTATGTACTTTGCAACATCAGCACAGCAAGTAAGCTTATCTGCTTTATCATCAGGGATTTCGATGCAAAATTCTTCTTCAAGAGCCATAATGAGCTCTACCCTGTCCAAGCTATCCAGCTCAAGTCTTTCTGAAAATCAGCTGTTTCAGTAACCTACATAAAGAAATGTCAACTCTCAAGATTCCCACAATGTTTCCCTTTGGCATATAAGTCATTACAGCAATATTTAGTCTTCGAATTTGGCTATTCTAAAGTAAGCACTCACTTCAAAAGAAAAAAGTAAGAAATCTCAACCAAACCATACATGAAAAAATCAAGAGTTGTTACCTGTACATGCTTTAATCATGAATTTCATAAAATCTACTCCAATGATACCTTTTATGAACGGTTAATATATTTCAATTTTCTCTCTAAAGTGAATTGCACAACGTTAAAGGAGCCAAATCCTGATTTCACAATCACATAGTTGAAGAATAAAAACAGAGACATGGACTGTCCACTGTCCATTAGTAGAACATAGCCATATAAAATTGTAAAATGGCGTTTTGATCATTACATAAATACCTTTGCAGCTCAATTTTGTCATACTTCTTGACCAGTTTAATTACTCTGTCCAGTATCAGATCAGAGCTGACACCAGTTTAAGAGCACAACATCTCAAATGCACAAGCGCATTCACATCCCCGGCAAAGAACCATCTTTCGGTTGACCTTCTCAAATTCATGACTCAGTATAGATTTCTTTATGCTTTGCATATTTAAGAAATCTGCAAAAAAAATAAAAATCCAACCAGTGTTTTAAAGTGTTGTAAGCCAATAAGATTGAAAAGATACTATGTATATGATCAAAGAGCAAAAGTGATAACCGTGCAGTATCTTCCTCTTATCCCTAATTCAAACAGTGAATAGATACCTTCAAAAGGAAACGTTTTGCGTATAAGCTTTGCATAGAAAAAAAATCTTAAGTGCCCTTCAAAATCAGTAAGACAACATTTGGCTACAAATTAATTTTAGGAAATAATTGTTTTTTTTTTGTTCAAAATTTTCTCAAAAAACTGCTAAGAAAGAACAGAGAGAGAGAGATTTTTTTTCCTTAAATAATATAATCTAAATATGTCCTGAATAAGCAAAAAAAGAATGTTGGAACAGAACTTGATTGTTTGACAAAATTTATAAATTCAAGCTATAGTCTTTGTTATGAGCAGTAAAGATTCTAGCTGGATACATGAGCACACATAATTGAGGTCTCAAATGCCTATACTACTTTATCTCTTGTCAAGCAAGATATCACTAACGTGTATTGTATCCTTGTCTTCTAGTAATTTAGTCAAATCATAGTGCTTTTTCCTTGTCAAAGGGAATTGTATCGCATTCGATCAACAAAAACAGGAATAGGACATGTTCAAGAAACTCCTAGATCAATACAAGTAACAGCCACAAATATTTCCTTTTATTGCTAACTAAATCATGCTTAGTAGGTATAACTCTTTATACACAGAGAAGAAGAGCAGAAATTTACAGTGGGATAAAATGGCTGTGGCTCAACAATGAAAGAGAATAAAATGGATTGTACAGAGGAATCTAGAATTTGATGTGATGTGATGTTATGTTAGCAACGAGAACAAAACCAGGAATCGAAACTAAGGTCTCATAAGTCAGAACCAATTGGCAAGTAAAACGGTATTGGGAAAAACTGAAAGAAAGAAAGAAAGAAATAGTAGAAATGATAAAGGAGGCGGCAAAACAAAGGACAAGGGCACTCACGACACGAAGTGACTGAGATTGGTCGAGATATGCCGACAAGTGGGTTTGGTCGGCTACGTGTTCGATGTTTTGCCTCAAAGACCCTTACCTCCTGTTGTCTCGTTTCTCTAATTAGCAATTATCATGGATCCAATGCTGGGAAGAAAAAAGGACGGTTATGGTTCTGCATATGGCCAGCCCAATATTGAATCATTATGCCACGGACCCAGTGGAGTGGGCCCGTAGATAGTGGATCCAGCATGGCCCATATATCAGTATTTGTACCTATCAATCTTGTCTTGGCTAACAAAGTCAAAAGGCAATGCTAGTGTTACTGAAAGACTAGATTGGTGAATGAATTGTGGATACCTTTCTTCTTCCATATTTTTGTTTCTTTCTTTTTTGGATCTCACCTATCATCTAATAACTATCTGTCCTCTATTTCGAAAATTAGTTTAGCATACCAACTTTTAACATTTCCTGTTCAGGGAAAAATTATTCTTTTAATCATTGCAATATAATATTATATTATTGTAGTAATTTCATATAAGAGGAATAATTTAGTTCCGTGAAGCTAAAGAATCATTTAACACAATATAGAAACATGAGGATTATTTATAATATTAATACCTTATCCTAACATTTTTCAGTATTATTTGTATTTTAAATATTTTTATGCTGAATTCTTTAGTCAGTACAGGAAAACTAATAAAGTAATTAATGTTTTAATTTTCTTTCAAACATATTAGAATTGTTTGTGTTTTAAGGATATGGAGAGATTTGAAAACATTAAGAATGTGAGTTGGTATAAAATGTGGTTAAGTAGAGGTGGTGGTGTGGTGATGGTATTGGTAATTGACAATTGGTATTGTTGATCACCCCTCCAAACTCGTCGGAGAATATTCTTATTATTATAATTGCACGAGTGCTTCGCTTCTTATTCTCTCCAACTTGCAACTTTTCCCTTTCATTCCTTTGGTATCCTTGAGTTGATCATGGGAAATGTGAACGCCACTCGTTCAGAACAAGCAGAATCTTCTGCAACTCATGAGAACGCCATGCCTACTCACTCCCCATTCATCTTCACTCCTCAGGCAACTACCTATTCACTTTTTCATTCTTCATCTTCACACTACTTATCACCTTCACAACTTTTTCTTCCTTCTAATTTTGATGCTGCTTATCCTGATTCTCAATTTTCTTCTCTTTATTATATATTATACTCCTTTTGCTACATGCTTTATGTTTTCATCTTTCCCTTGTGTAGGTTCCGGTGCTTCCACTACAAAGAGCTGATGAGATGCATGTTCCGAGTTCAGGGTATGCAGATATGTATGCTGAACCAGGAATTCCAACAATGATTACTTGGAGTTATGATGGAAAGGAAGTAGCAGTTGAGGGATCGTGGGATAATTGGAAAACAAGGTTTGGAAATGTTACCATCGTATTTGCTTCATCTATGTCTTTAATACCTGCTTTAGCTGTTTCTTAGATTGTTGAATTCCTTGTTCATTAGAATGCCCCTGCAGAGATCAGGGAAAGATTTCGCAATAATGAAGCTACTGCCCTCTGGTGTTTACCACTACAGATTTGTTGTCGACGGACGAAAGAGGTACACTCCAGACTCTCCTTGGGCACAAGATGATGCTGGCAATGCTTACAACATCTTGGACTTACAGGTATTATTTTATATATATTGGACAAAATTCATATGTCATGGTCATTCATTATATGCATATTAATATGATTTTTCTTTTGTCTTTGAGAAAATTAGAATTATGTTTATGTTAAGGGTCATTAATTTAACATTCAAAAAAAGATGAATCTTGTGTTTGATATTTTTCAGTAATCTGGCATTGAATGCACTTTTCTCTACTTTGAGAGTATGAAACATTTGTTTATTTTCACTTTTTTTATTTGGACACCTACAATTGATTTTTCTTCCTGGAAGTCTTTTATATTTTTTTTTGCCTTTTCACACTTGTTGACTGCATGTCCCTTATCATCCTGCAGTCAATTACCAGAATTTTGTTTCAAAGGCACATAATCCCAAACTCATTTCAGGGACAAACTTTTTCAACGTGTCCCAATATATAAAACCAATGCCTTGACAAAATTGTAGGCCGGTGTGAATATTTTCCATTTATTTTGACTTGTCAAGAGAAGTCAGCTGGGCTGCTGAGATGAAAAAATGATAACTCGTGGTTTGCTATTTCTTTTGGATGTCAACACTACTTTATGACAGGTTCTCCATATTAATAGTAACATAATTAAATAAATTTCTCCATAAATATTTTTAAGAGCAAAACAATAAAAAGAATAAAGAAACAAGTTTCTTTTAAGTTAAAAAAATGTTTTTAAAGAAGTTAATATATATGATAAAGTTTTTATTACACAAAAAAATTATTTTATTTTATTTCTTATTTTTTCTCTCTAAAAATACTTACAAAGAATTTTATCCAAATAGAATCTAAATCAAATTCGTGTTATTCTGTATGAGTCTGAACTTGCGTAGAGGGCACAAAGCTTAAAATTCCCCCCTCTAGCAAACACAAGCAGACTGATGGAGTAATCAGTTTTAATATAGTTACTTATTTTTCAAATACTCTCATGACACTGAAGCAACACGTAAAAGGTGGCCAGTAATTAATCTTGTTGCATATCCACTATGATTAAACTAAGTGTCTGTAGATGTCATTGGTTTCTAAATTAAGATTAATGATTTCATCTAATATATATCTAGGATTATGTTCCTGAAGACATAGAAAGCATTTCTAGTTTTGAGCCTCCTCAATCACCAGACTCGAGTTATGATAACTCACAACTTAGTTCTGAGGATTATGGCAAGGAGCCACCATTAGTTCCTCCACTCTTGCAAATGACAGTGCTAAACGTGCCAGCAACAAATATGGAAATCCAACCTCCTAGGTCAAGACCTCAACATGGAGTGCTGAATCATCTTTACACGCAGAAAGGAAAGAGCATTCCTTCAGTGGTTGGCCTTGGTACAACTCATCGGTTTCTAGCCAAATATGTCACTGTGGTGCTGTATAAGTCGTTGCGAGTTGAACCATGAACATAAATTATAAACGACATGGAGCACAGTTTATAGAGCTTCACATAGTATAGTTATATGCCAGAAATGGGAAAAGTCAATATTGTATCACATATAATGCAGTTGTTTGATGATCAATCATCAGGCAATTTAGTTCCAAATCTTATATATTTGTTGACGCTTTTCTCTAGGAATTTTGGTTGAGTGATTCAAGGGATAAAAGTAAAATTCGTAACATGTTCTTATCACAAATTTGGAAGACCGATTTATTGCTTAGGATAACCACCCCATGCATTTTCTGTTTTAGCGTTTTTTTTTCCATTCCCTGTTTTGGAATTTGTTCTTTGGTTTTTTATACTTCATAATTTTGGAAAATGAAAATTGCTACTGGAAATTATAAAAAATAAATAAATGAATGAATGAAGGGCATGGATAGAAGTTTTATACTTCATAATTTTCTTGTGTGTCTCTCTAATAAACCTGCTCAAGAATCCACATCCGTAGTTTCTTATAGCTTTGCGTACCTTATTTAGTGTTGTGTTGGATGCAATTTATTCTAATAGCTTTTTTGTTTCAACTTTTATTTGAGAATTGGGATATTATGAAGGACTGGCAGGGGAAGATTATTGGTCAACGAAATCTTTAGTAGAATTAGTTTTGCCTTCCAAGTTTTGCCTTTGAAGGAGTGCTGAGGAATTTTCTTCTGATCATGAAAAAAAATAATAATAAGTTGTTTCACTTATATATTATTAGGGGATGACTATGATACTTTATAAATTGAACGCTACGATGTATAAACTAATAATTATATAAAAATTATGAAATTCAATTGACAATTGAATTCAAAATGTCTATATATATAGTGAATCATGTAAAAAATATCTCATAAACAATTAAAAAAATTTATAAAATTATATTTTTTTGAATTTTTCAATTGTCTTTTAAACCTATTTTTATGGAATCTTCTCCATGTTTAAAACACATGAATTTCAATTATATTCAATAATTTTCATATAAATAAATTTAGTAAGATAAATTTCAAGTTTTGAATCAATTAAAAAAAAATATTCAAAATCATATTTTAAAATTGAAAACAAACATTATTCTAAAAGGACAAAATTGGTCCTAACTTAAGAAATAAAATACTAGAATAAACAATTTAAAAAATAAAACATCAAAATAAATCTAACAAATAAAATAAAATATAAAAATATAATTTAACCTAAATTTTAAAGTAATGATTCTAAACAACTCGGTAGTGTAAGTTTTGAAAAGCTTTTTTATTATTATTAATAGTGAAAGAATTTGAAAAGCTTCTTTGTATATACTATCATATTTGATAATAAAAAATACTTAACAAAATCGTGATTTTGCCCAATCACAAACTATGGGCTGACATATAACTTACACATTCACAAAATAACATTTGGATTTCATGAAATATATAAGTTCTAAATAAAATAAGAAGAAGAGAAAAAAATTTGATAATGAATAATATTGTAGTTGGTCAATTTTTAAGTTCTTTCTTCATTGTCACTATTCTAACCGAAAAAAAAAAAAAAAAAAAGGTGTTATGTGTTTGTCTATGTTTTAAATAAATTAAAATAAATAAAGAATAAAACATGGATAGTTACATGAGCAATTCTTTAAAGAGAATAAAAAATTGAAATGAAAAAAACATTGAAAAAGAAAAAGTTATTTAAATTTATGATTAGAATATTAAAAGAGGATAAAATAATGTATATTAAAATTAGAGATCAAAATAATTATTAAAAAAATATATTTTTATATAATGATATAGATAAATATAAAATGAATAATATTAGTAGTGAAACTTGTGTCTCTTATTCTTAGCAAAACATAAAAAGTAAGTTGATATTACTTTTGCAAAATGGTATAAAAATAGTGTTTCAATTTTTAGTCGAGATGAATCAAAATTTATTTTAACATAAATCAAAGTCAAACGTTTAAAAGTAGAATTTCGATTTGTTTTCAATAAAACTATACAGTGATTTAAAAAAATAGTTTTATTTTTGTAAACAATGCAAAAAATATTAGAAAATATTTTTTTTTTCAAAACAAAATACTTTGAATCTTAACAAAATTCTAAAAAAATTAAAAAAGATGCAAGAGTTTAGCTTTATAAAAACAAAGTCAAATTACACTTTTAATCTCTCATTTTATTCAATTAATTCAATTTAATTTTTTTTATTATTAAAAGGTTCAATTTAATCCTTAATTTTTACAAAAAGGATACAACACGATCCTTTATATCAGATTGAGGCTAACAACATTAAATTTCTGTACTTGTTTTAATATATGTCTTTTTTTATTGTGTAACATGGATATTTTTTAAAATTAAGAATCAATTTGAAATTTTTAATAATAGAAAAACCAAATTAAATAAATAAAATGAGATTAAATGAATAATTTAACCTAAAATTTTTCTTTTTTATAATTACAATTACATGGTGTTGATATTAGATATAATATTCTATTATAATTTAAAGTTATGATTCACAAGTTAAATATACAAGTAACATATATTCTTACTATAAATGATTTAATTAAGTATCTCATGACAAAATATAAGACTAAGACAAATAGAATAAATAAAAAAGATAAAGGATACCATATAACATATTTCTACTATTTCTAAATAACAACCCACTAAAATAGAAATATTAGAGTTAAGTGTAAAAATATTTAATATTTATCACCATAGCTTCCTGTGCGTAGCTCTTGATTTTATTTTCTTTTGCTTTCTTTTGCGTAGCTCTTGAAATATATATTTCAAAATAAAAAAAATTAAAAAGATCAAAATAATTATAAAAGACATTTTACATTTATTGCATGATATGAAAAACACATTCGAATTGATTGAAAAAATTCTTTGGATTTTATTTTAATTATAGTTAAAATAATATTTTCAAGAAAAGGAATTAAAAAGAAACATACAATTCCCTTCTTCAAAATCGATCAAATTTTGTTTAAATTGATTAGAGCTCCATTTTTTTTAATAAAAAATACCTTCTTTTTTAAAATAACCAAGTATAAAATCTTACCGTTGTGAATATTTACTACTTCTCAAAATTCTGTATCAAACTAGTCACAGTTAAATTTTGATTAACAACTAAGTGGATAGTGATATTTGGTTTGAAAATCCTTAACATGTCATTAACTTTTTGTTCAATAGTCATGAAATATCATTTTTTATCTACCATTTTACATATTAAAAAAGTATATAAAAATAATTAAAAAAAAAAAAACTAACAATTCTTAGAAAATCTAAAAATTTAACGCATATTAAACACGCATACCTAATTAAACCAAAAACAACTGATAGAATGAATGTGCTATACTTGTAGGCTTGTAGCACTGATAATTAAATATGTCTCAGAAGTTTTAAATTTTTAACAGCGCTGTAAGATTATTAAAATATTTAATATTAATTAAATTGGTTAATTGTGTCCTGTGGACGTTGGGGGAGAGTTTCTGCGAGACGTTGAGCAGCATTCATATATTAATAGCTAGCAAGTATGGAACACTAGTAGAGGAAATCAGGAAACGGAACCTCTTCACCATTCTTAACATTGAGTGAGTTACAACTTACAACACTGACATGCCATCTTATTCCATTTGGAATTCGATTCTAAACCACTAAGTTTCTTCAGAGACCATAAATTCGCAATTCCATCTCTAAAGATAGTGAGAGGAGCCGAAAGAAGAGTGAAGCTGAAACCTCTCAAGTCCTAAAACTAAAATGGTATCACAACACAAGTCTTACTTTGTTACATTATGAGGCATATGACAAACGAAAGCCCTCCACGATGTACAGAATTGCCAAGCAATTGGTTATTCCTTTCACCCTATATAGGCTATAGCTATCTATACCCTCAGTTTCTCACAAACAAACAAAAAAAAAAAAGCTAAAACCATAATGTTATTATGGTTCTCTACTTGAACACCGGACAGCCATCAACCTCAATTCCTGGTGCAGTTGGGCATGTGGCCAATGGGCAATGGTCCAAATCACTTCCCCACCATTTTAGATTATGCCCAGCATTTTGCAAGGCAAAGAATATCAAAACACCCATGAAAGCTGTGCCTGCATCAAGTGCTGCTGATAGTACATAATTGTACTTCTGCCACCAACGTTTGTTGTAGCGGAACACAAAGTAATTGAAGATCATTCCAGTCAATAGCCAGCTTGCAATGTTGGCTGGTGTTGCTGGTGGCATTCCAGCAAAGCCATAGGATATAACTGGTATGTTTATCAGTGGTATCCACTTCTTCTCAGGGAACATTTTGCTCATCACCCAAATTGGAACTGGTAGCACTGCTCCAATCAGGAATAGCCACACAAGGTTCCTGTACAATCCACCAGGTCCAAATAGCCTCTTTGGTCCAATCAGACCCCATATAACAGATGCATCAAAGGTCACTCTGTACTTGGGACATGTCCAAGGACTGTCATGATGAACTTTATCATCCATGCAAATGTCCTTGATGCTGTCCAACATCCACCAAGCCACTGCAAGGTTCACTACACCAGCAACTAGAGTTCCCACCAGCTGTTTGGAAAGTAACAACAAAAACAAGTAATGAGAAAATAAAGGATACTGGTTAGGAAAAAAGGCTTAGATTAGGAGGTTTGATGCTGCAATGACCTGAGCTGTGTACATGCATCGTGGAGGAATTTTCATGTAGTGGCCAAGTTTGAGATCCGACAAGAAAGAGAGAGCGTGGACGGTGCTGATTCTCCCATAAATCTTGAAGAGCAAGTTTGCAATTGGTTTTCCCGGAAGGACGTAACCAATCATGAACTGTGCTATAATGTCATATCCAGGTTGCTGCAAGGTAACCACAAGATAAAATGGGGAAAAAAACTCATGTTAAAATATTGAACCTCTATAGCTTCCCACTTCGCATCAAAATAATAGTGGAGGGGACAGGAATATTGGAGATGGTACCTGGTTGGTAGTTGCTTGAATGACACCAATAGGAAGGGTTACAATAAAAGCCAAAGCAAAAGCAAAGAGCATACCCCACCATGGCAATTGCACATCCGTTTTCCACACAAAAGCCATTAGCAGGGATAGCACCATGCTCCCAAACAATATACTGAGGAACCACCATTCAGGTACTT